TGTTATGTAATATATATACACACATAATACAATATTATACATCATACAATATTAGTTATATATACTATTGTGTATATATATATAATTGTGTATAAATGTAAATGTATCTATATATAATATTTTGCAATATATATGGCATATATAAATATATAATACTGTGTTATGTATAATATTGTATTATGTGTGTATATATATTACACAACAATATTATACATAATACAGTATTATATATATATTGCACAATATTATATATATCATCTAATAAATAATAATATATACACACACACAATATTATATATATGTATATATAAATATATGTATATATATGTAAATGTATCTATAATATTTTGCAATATATATGGTATATATATAATACTGTATCATGTATAATATTGTATTATGTGTGTATATCCATACATATTGTATTATGTTTGTCTGTATAGCTAAGCAGCATAAGTCTGTATGTATGTATGTATATAGTACATATATATACACACACATATGTATAAAAACCAGCTTAGGAGCCTTCCCTAACTCTTCCTCCAGCGCCACCCAACTTCATAGTCCTAACACTACACCATCCAGATGTGTTATTATGGGACTCACCCTCCAACCAAGCAACCAACCAACTGTTGCTAGTATCCAAGGTACGTCAATCACCAGGGCGGGGGTGGGACAAATAGGCCTGTCGCGGTGCATTGTGGGAAATGTCGTTCTTTTCTCCTTCCCCCTCCTCCCTTTCGCCCCATTCTCTTGACTTCCCGCCTACGACTCCCGGCAGCCCTTTCGCCGTTTGGTCGCTCTTCCGGCGGCAGGACGCTTAAGCAAAACTACCACTCCCGTCATGCTTTTCTGATGCTTACGGCGTGCAGGCATGCCGGGAGTTGTAGTAAATTCTTTACTCCCCTTCGTGGCTGGGCTTGGGAACCCCGTGCTTGGCCGGGGAGCCCTCCTTTCCGGCGACCGCCATTTCGGGAGCGGGTGTGTGGTGAGTGCGGGCCCGCGTCTTCCCCGTTTGGCTTTGGTTTTGGGGCCTGTATTTGTCCCTCATGGCTCTTGCTTTCTTTCTCCCGCAGGCGCCGCCGTCATGCAGATCTTCGTGAAAACCCTGACGGGGAAAACCATCACCCTCGAGGTGAGGAGGGAAGGCCTACATGGAAGGCCTCAGGGAAGCGTCTAAGGCCTCAAGGGAGCCTCTCAGGCCCAGGGACCTGCTCTGTGAGGCCTACTGCTACGGCTAGGGGAGCCAGTACGATGCTAGGCCGCATACTTAGGAGTGTAAGCAGGCTTAGGCAAACTTGGGCCCTCCAGGTGTTTTGGACTTAAGCGGCTGAGGGAGAAAAGGAAAGGGCCTGAGGCTGTTAGGAATGCTGGGAGTTGAAGTCCAAAACACCTGGAGGGCCCAAGTTTGCCTAAGCCTGCTTATACTCTCTTTGCTATAGCAGTAGGCCTCACAGTGGAGATAAACCAGTTCAAAGCGTACCTTGGGAAGTCTGACTTGGCCACGGTAGTCCACGCTCTGGTTACATCCTGTTTAGACAACTGCAACGCTCTCTACGTGGGGTTGCCTTTGAAGACAGCTCGGAAGCTCCAACTAGTCCAACGCTCGGCAGCCATGGTTTTAACGAGCGGAGCGCAGGGAGCATACAACCCCCCTGCTGCGCCAACTCCACTGGCTACCGATCTGCTACCGGGCTGAATTCAAAGTGCTGGCGTTGGCCTTTAAAGCCCTAAACGGTTCCGGCCCAAGCTACCTATCCGACCGCATCTCTGCCTATGAACCCACCAGGACTTTGAGATCTTCCGGGGAGCTACTCTCGATCCCGCCTGCTTCTCAAGCTCGGCTGGCGGGGACGAGAGATAGGGCCTTCTCGGTGGTGGCTCCTCGGCTGTGGAACGCCCTTCCTACGGACATTAGCACCCATCTCTAATGGTATTCCGCAAAAAAGTGAAGACCTGGCTGTTTGAGCAGGCGTTCGAATAATTAGTGCAATGATTGGTTAATGAACACTGGAATGGAACAATGGATGACGAATCTGGAACATGTTTTTGATGACGAGACGACAGTGAATGGGTATTGTAGTAACTGTTTATTAATTGTGTAATGTGTTAGGTTGTTAACTGTTTCTATACTGTAGCACTGAATTTTTGCTGTTCGTATTTGTTGTGAACCGCTGTGAGTCGCCTTTGGGCTGATATAAGTAAGGTAAATAAATAAATAATTTTGGGTTTGTGGACGGGCCCTGAGTCTACACTGCCATATATTCCAGGTCAAAGCAGATAATGTGGGGTTTTATTCAGCCTGAGTCTGCCACTCCATGTCTGCAGCTGTTGTTGAAGGCTGCATGTTTTTGGTGGCCAAGTGCTACATCACTTGCATATAGAAGTGTCCAGGGATGTGTAGTTTGCATATCGGCTGTATTATTTTATTTATTTATTTATTTGGGGTTCTTTTACCCCGCCCTTCTCACCCCGAAGGGGACTCAGGGCGGCTTACAAAAGCAAAGGCACAATTTGATGCCTGCATCATAAAGACAATCAAACACAGAATTACATCAATACACATACATTATAACCATAAAATCAATAAAACCAAATACAAACCCAATTTCTCAATTTCTGTAGCAGTGTCCATGCATAGTATTATTTTTTATTATTATTTACTGTATTTATACCCCGCTCTTCTCAACCCCAAAGGGGACTCAGAGTAGATTATTATTATTATTATTAACTTTATTTGCATCCCGCTAGCATCTCCCAATGGACTCGATTCGGCTTACAAAGGCCAAGGCCTCAAAACACAACATAACAATACAACACCTAAAGCAAAATTAAAAACAGTTAAAGCAATATTAAACAACAAGCAATAAACAATACATCAAGAAACTATAAAACTGGGCCGGGCCAGAGTAATGGGTACAGGATTAAAAGTGCTGATGTGACAGGTGATATGTAAGGATTATAGGGTAAGTGCAGTGTGCATCAATCTTAGTTCTAATAAAGTGCTTCTGGGACTTGTTATTGGAGTTTCCTATTCTGGAAAGACACATCGGAACAGCCAGATCTTCAAACTCTTCCTAAAGACTGCCAACGTAGGGGCTTGTCTGATGTCTTTGGGGAGGGTGTTCCAAAGTCGGGGGGCTACCACAGAAAAGGCCCTGTCCTTCGTCCCCACCAAACGCGCTTGCAACGCAGGTGGGATCGCGAGCAGGGCCTCTCTGGATGAGCGAAGAACGCATGGGTTCATAAACGGAGATGCGATCACGCAGGTAGGCAGGTCCCAAACCGTTTAGGGCTTTGTATGTAAGCACCTGCACCTTGAATTGGGACCGGAAAATGAACTGCAGCCAATGGAGCTCCTTAAACAGGAGGGTTGACCTCTCTCTGTAGGGAGCTCCAGTTAACACCCTGGCCGCCGCTCGGCCAGGATGTTAACTATACATTTTTGGTGGCCGAGTGCTACATCACCTGCATATAGAAGTGTCCAGGGATGTGTAGTTTGCAAATTGGCTGTAGCAGCGTCCATGCATAGTATGAATAGTAATTATGATGCATACCAAGGGTGAGGTTGAAGGGGAGTGAAATAATAATCTTTGGCAAAGGCTTTCATGGCTGGAATCACTGGGTTGTTGTAGGTTTTTTCAGGCTATATGGCCATGTTCTAGTGGCATCTATGGCAAGAATCCTTAGAGGTAGTGAGGTCTGTTGGAACTAGGAAAAGGGGTTTACTTACTTACATACATACATATATATATATACATACATACACACACACACACATGCATGCTCTGTGCGTAATGAGTTCCTTAAAACCAAAAGAACCAATGAACGAAATCACACCAAATTTGGCAACAAAACATCTCACAACATAAGGAGTGACCATCACTCAAAAAATATGATTTTGTCGTTTGAGAGTTGTAGTAGAGAAAAGTTAAGGTACAATAAAAATACAGTTAAAAGTACATTTCCCCCAATCCACAGATAATTTTAGTGTTCTAATACATATCCTTCAAATAACTTGAATCTAAACCAGGAATGGGCAAACTCCAGCCCTCTATCCAGGTGTTTTGGACTTCAAATCCTACAATTCGTAACAGCCTCCCTGTTTGCCCATGCCTGATTTAAACCATATTTGGCTTTACAAGTCAAAACTAGCTCTTTGAATTTTTGCTAGAAATGAGTTGGCAGCCAAAATGGTAAATGGTATAAAATGGTTTAGGGAATTTGGTGTATTTACTTGGAGAAGAAAAGTCTTAAAGAGGAGACAAGCCATGTTTAAATATTTGAAAGGCTGTCAATGGAAGATGGAACCGGTTTGTTTTCTGCTGCACCAGAGACTAGAATACAGAAAAATTGATTAAAACTACATGAAAACATATACCTTAAACGTTATCTTCCCCAACAGAGCTATTTGGCATTGAAATGTGCTGTTTGGGAGCATGGCGGAATCTCTTTCTCTGGATGGTGATCTTTTGGGAGTGCTTTGATTGTGGATTCTTGTATGGTAGAATGGGGATAGCTTTTGTGGTCTCTTCCAGCTCTATTATCCTGTGCTTCTGTCTCATCCTTAGGCAGCAGGGATGTTGTGATTTAATGATGGTGGGGAATAACCAGGATTGAAACTGTGCCTTATAGAGTTAGGAAAAGAAAGAAAAAAGGTCTCTACCTGAAAGGACTTCTCAGATAGGACAATGTATATGCATAACCAAATGAAGGACAGTTTGGGACAGAGCAAGTAAAAGTCCTGATAGTGAATTAATGTGGATATACAGAGCATACATATACAATAGTTTGCCTCATTTTTAAATAGGATTTTTCTTCCTTTATAAACAAAAAAACTTCTAAGTGGCAGTTTCATGAAGTGTTATTCCACATATATGCTTATTGTTTTTGTAGGCTGTATTGCCTGCTAGTTTGAATCTACTAACTATTTTGGCGTTTCTTCTTTAATAACAGGTTGAACCGTCTGATACTATAGAAAATGTCAAAGCCAAGATCCAGGATAAGGAAGGTAGGTGCAGTTTTGGACCACCGGGGTTTGTAATTTTTCCCACTTTTCTAAAAATAAGTTTGGATTGAGCCGCAAGCCCACTTCTGAATTTGGGTTTTGTACTTTTAGTCCGATAGAAATTATTTAGATGCACAACAAAAAATAAAAACCAGTATCTGTTTAAAACATTCTACATTATAAGACACAAAGATCTAAAATAAAACCCTAATCTAGAAATTCAGAAAACAGAGAATGGGAAAATGTAACAAATTTACAGTAAAATTATGCTTATTGTGGGTTCCATATGAACTATTAATGATATGGAAGGAATTGTGTAGATTTAATTATTTGCTTGTACATTTCTTCCTTGTCCAACACGTTTCATTTGTATGGAGGTCAAGAGGGGAAAGCTCTCCATGACAGTTTGGAACAATACAGTAAATACAGTGTTACAATTGGGAAGGAATTCTTAAAAATGTTCAAAATATGACTGTATATCATTAATGAACATGTAGAATAGAATGCATGGTATATTTCTACAGTTTGAATATCCCTTACCTGCATTGTTTGGGACCAGAAGTGTTTTGGAACAATGTATTTGCATATACATACACAATCTTGGAAATGGGACTCAAATTGAAATGCAAAATGTATGTATGTTTATTACACACTTTGTACACTTAGC